TGCTATGGAGCTGCCATATTTTGCTGGGAGGCTCTCAGCTGACTGGACAAAACCGTTTATTTCTGACTGGACAAAACCGTTTATTTAAGGTTTACCCTCACATGACCACCACATTTCCCTTCCATCCCTCAAATATTCTTTTTACGTCTCCCTCTAGTGGTGAACCATGGAAGTGCACAAGTCGTAGTAAAAAGAAAATGATGACTGCAACAGTGAAACTTTATATGAATGAGTAATTTCTTTTTTTTATATCTGATCTAATATTGATCTAAATATAAATAATTCAAAAACATACATATGAAATACACATATAAGTATTTGAACGCATCTTTTTGTAAAAAGCTCAGAAATACTGTACTATGACTTCACACGTCCAGTTATTGTTTGCAAGATTAAAGCGGGGGTGTAAAGGCTGAAACACAGAATGCAGGAGGAAGTAAGGAGTTTAGAGCTTACAATCACTGGAACAGGGCCAGGAGCTTTTCAGAGAGGCTAATGCCTCCGCCGTCACTTTAGAAACCCCTTCTCCTGCCAGCCTGCTCTCCTCTGCCTGACAGCAGCGTGCCTCACGGTTTCCTCCTTTTCCCACAGCTCACTCATTGGCTGACACCACAAAAGAAGATCTCCTGCGAGTGACATCATCACCCCACCCCACCACCACACACACACCAACACCATCCACCGGCACATGTCACAACCACATGGTAAACATCCACTCCAGTGAAGCACCTGTAATTTTACTCTCAAGCTGAAGCGGAGCTATATTTCTTATTCGTGCGTTACGTCTTTGATGTATTTCACAGACCAAACCGGAGACAAACGGTTTACAACATGTTCTGGATTGTTTCTTGGCAACAAAATCTCCTCTGACAATATGCAGGCAAAGCAAAATGATCCCCAAAGATCCTTAGAGGAGGCTTGTTTCTGTTCATGTGGGTTGAGAGGTAAAATGTACCTCTCTCACTAGAAGTGATGTCTCATTATAGGATGTCAAACAAGGGATAACAAAGTAAAAACTAGCAATAGAGGGGACTCATGTTAACCACAGGACCTGATTATTCACACTGCTAAAAAGTCCTTCAAACACCCCAATATGCCCAACATCAAAAGGTGTAATGGTGCTTTGAAAATATAGACTGTATTAAACCCAATCTTCCTCAAAGCTCCCCTTTCTCCCCACCTCTCCCAAAGATGCGTTCAACCTTTATCTCTTTATCAAAACAATAAAAATATGAAGCGAATAAATAAACCCTGTGGATCTGGCTCTCTGAGCCCCCCAGGTTAGAAGCCACTGTTCTAAAGTTAGTCCCAGAACGTTTCATTTATCTTAAAAAATAAATAGTTTATTGAGCAAACTAAAGGATTCATCTGACTCAGATTACCAAAAGAAATCTCTGAAGTCACTTGGGTAAAAACATGGTTTGAGGTCCAGAAATGACTGACCTTTTCCGTCGAAACTTCAACTGCCTCAGAAAAAATTAAAAAATAAAACTAACAATAATAATAACAGTAAACAGCTTGGATGAATCTGTTTCCAGACTGTGTTTTGGCCCAAAGCAAGTTATTAAAGCAAGTAATAACAATTTGAAGAATATTTTGTGACTGATGATTTAAATTTTACATATTTATTTTGTGATCTACTGTAATCRTTTACTTTAAACACAGAATATAAAAGTCTATCTTAATATGTGCCTTGACACAACAGTATAAACACATGGTTGACATTTTAAGAAGTGTTTACTTCCTTGTTTATCGTGACATCATATCCGGGGTGGGACTTGACTCTGAAGCTGTGTGGGGTTACATGTATGGAGGACTGAATCTGACAAAATTAGAAATAAAAGCACTAATATATAAATGGACCATTAAATAAAAAATACACTTAAAAAGCACCAATTAAGTTAAAAAAAGGAGAACTTTACCTTATGTTTTATAATTTAGTTGACCTTCATATTTATTGTTCCAGCTTTGCCTCATTATGCACATGGGGTGTGGGCAGGAAGGAAAACACTTACCTGTGCTTATGCTTTAAACTAAATTTGAGGCAAATGAAGTAAAATTATCTTTTGGTGCATTTTAAGTGCATTTATTTATTTATTGGTCCATTTATTTAATTCTGATTTAATTTCTAATTATGTCAGTGCGGACCATTTCCTGAATCTCAGAATGGACCAGATCTGTGGTAAACATGTCTGAAATTAAACAACAGAATAGAATAGAATAGAATAGAATAGAATAGAATAGAATAGAATAGAATAGAATAGAATTTTATTGTCCCGTGTGGGGAAA